AAAAAACACAGCTTAGGTAAACTAAGTTTCCTCGTTTCACGCAAAAATCTAATAATTTATTTATTTTTACATTTAGATATACAAAAATATATATTTATTAAAAAAAAAAATAATAAATAAACCCTACATTTGAAAAATTATTTTTCTGTTTGCTCTAACGTGTTTTTGGCGGTTATATTTTAACTTTTTAATGAAAAAAAAGTAGTGACATAATATATATTTACATAAATTATATATGATATATATGCAAAAACCGTTAATTAACTAAAGGGTACTTATTGTTAATAGGTCATTATAATAGTATTAATTTATAAATTAATTTAAAAAAAAATTGATTTAATTAAAAGATAGATGCTTAAATAAACTGAACTGCATTTTTAGTACTTATTATAATAATACAGACTTTCGAGATCAATTAATTAAAACGAAATGCTAGGTACCTCGATGATTAAGCGGTACATTTTTCAAATAAATTTAAAAACCAATTTGCCGCGGTAATTTGAAAAAATTACGGGTCACCGCAACATTTAATTGTTGACGTTAGATTCAACAATTAATTATTCTATTAGATTAATTTCGTTAATCTATACGAATCATAATGTTTATTCTATGTAGATTACTCGATCGTAGAAACAGCTAGTGTTTTCCGTAAGACATTAACCTCACGTGAAATAACGAATTCCATTAATAAATCTCTTGTTATCAAATTCTATTAATTATTTAAATTTCCCGCGGAAAATAACTCCGGTAATAACGTTGGGAATAATCCACAAAGGATTGCGGCATTAATTCTGGTAGTTTCAACTACGAGAATGCAAATCTAATGAAATCCTAGCCTAACAGCACACCAAAAGTACATCAAGGGCTTATCATAATACGACACTCCACCCGGAGGATATTATCTTCAAAATTTGTGTGCCTCTCACGCAGCCGCAGAATTATCCACGAATCGCGAACGGGCGACCGATTTATTACACGTCAACTTAACCGTACCGACGGCCCGGACATTTTGTCGAAATCATTTCCCCCCGCGAGGAAACGCCCGAAAATAGCTCCCGAGCACCGAGCTCCCGAGCAGTCAACGAGATATGCGCAGTAATTAGCGCAACCGGCCGTATATCGAACCTTTGCGAAATCAGTGTGTCCATTAATCCGGGGTCAGTGGTGGATTCCCGGATCCATAGCGGTTCCATTCGAATTAATCCGTAATGTACATTAAACCAATTAATTAATGTTTATAAAATATGTACGAGACAATATCAATTAATATTTATACAATTGTGGTACGTTTCTCGGTAACGACACCGGCCCGTTTCCATTTACTACGCGCGCATATTATGTACCCATCTGTGTGCGTTTTTTCTACACGGTGACGTTCAAAACACGGGTTTTAAACCACGAACAAAAGTGATATTACAGAAAATAAAACAATTGGGGAAAAAAGAAAAAAGGAAAAAAGAAAGAGAGTACCCGTATACAATAATAGGTACCTCCGGTCCGTAGATCCGCAGCAGTAAGAACCCTTTTTGCGTCACGGTACAAATAGAGTAATAGATTCCGAACAAAGCGAGTTTTACAACGGTATATACATTTTCCTCTCTCGGCAAGGTAAACATTCTCTGCAAATAAATTGCATCGGGTAACTTCAAATATTAAACACGGCGCGTTTAATGTACATAACATTCTCAAAGGAGTTATTTTTCGAATTTCCCCAGTTTTGTTGGAAATTATTTACAGTTACTTACTTATTACGGCGAACCGACCGTGTACCCACCCACATAGCAGTCGAAATGCGCAACGAGCGAATTGATAATAATTACATTTGAGCAGCCTCGCTATATATTGCAGATGATAACCCGAACATCCGATACTTGACTTATACAACAATGTGCCTATTCAAATAAGTGAATTTGATTTAACGGATGCGTTCGATTAGGCATGACGAAATTGTAAGCGCCATTTTCACCAACATCATCATGTGATTAACGCCTATGCATTAACGTTTGGTCAAATATAACGCGCACGGCATTGGGTTGTTTTTTTATTATTTTTTTTTTTTAATATAATCGAATTAAACAAAAAATACGTCCAACGCTCATATACGTCTTACCTACTATAAAAACCAAAATCAAAATTCAATTATAACATGATTTATATAATACGAATTTACACTGCAGTGCACCTATAACACTTTTAATATTTTCAATCGAAACAAAACTACATTATACTCTTATATATTATATTAGGTATCTATATATAACAGTTAAATAAATACATACGATTTGCATTACAGTTTAAATATTTAAACGGTTACGTTTGGGTATAACATTTACTATTTACTAGTTTAAAAATGAAAGATGAGTTAAACCAAAAATTTAAAATTCGACACTCGTTTTATTTCGATACTTGACATACCTTTGTTTAAAAATAAAAATGAAATATTAATGATTAATATATTATTTATTATTAAAAAACTGCACTTTTTAGAATTTAGATATAAAACACACACACATATACTCGTATAATATACAAGTAACAAAATTTTAAAAAATGTATTGATTCTAATCTAATTAACCACGACGCGATTATCGCGTTTCCGCCTACCTTTTTATCATAATAAAACACCGAAGTTGATACTAAAAATTACCTAGATTTCGTTATTCAATACCGCTGTCGTAAATATAGAAGATACTTGTTAATTTGTATCCTTCCAGAACAATGATCGTTTAAAGTTGTTTATGTGTTGTAATCGATATTAAACAGTGTTTAACATTTTTAATGCGGTATTTAAAATAATTCTAAGTATACTAAGGAACTCTTTTATAATTTTTAAGTTCGGTGAAAACGTGTTGCAATAGCGACAAGGTGAATCGCGTCCCCTATATTTTTGATGGCTACCTAGGCGAATTCATATTTGTTTGTAATTTAATGGTGCCAAATATTATAATATGCAAACAAAATGTTAGAAACAGCTTTGGTATAATGGGTGCTTTACTACAAATGAAATGTACTTACAAACATGTATACATAAATGGAAAAATAACAGAGAATAAAATATGAATTTCAAAGGTAACTCAAAGATACTTAAAACCGTAAATTCAAAGGTATTATCCTTACTTACTTTAATATTCAAATGGAGTTTACTATAAATAAAATGTATACTGATATAAGTGTAACATGTATTTATAAACGAAAAAATGAAAATGTAAATTATAAAAAATATGAATATCGGACAGTCGTTCAAAAGTATAACAAACACAAATTTTAGATTTTCTATACATTATAATAATAGAAAAAAAAAAAAATGATAATGTGTACATTCAAATCGAAATAATATCACATTACGCACATGATTATTTTATAAGTTCCCAACATCAATCCAATCAAAAATTAAATTTTAGTACATTTTTTTTTTTTTTTACTATTATTATTTTGAAATATACTAAAAATTACTTACATAGTGATAATAGTTTATCACTGCAGTGTATGAACGAATAGTAAAAGTATGATTAGGTGTACGATGGGTAATTCATTTTAAATACCGAAAGGAACAATAATTATCGATTATCGTTTCTTCGACGCGCGCAAAATAAAAAAAAAAAATGTAATGGTATTGGTTATTTGTTGTGTAATTTTTTTTTTTTTTGCCATTCTGGGCATATTAAATTGTGAATTTCAAAAATTGTCTCTTCATAGCAGTATAATATAGCAATAAATATTCGTTTCCTATGATGTCGAACGGAACGATTCGAATTAAACTAGAAAAAAAAAAATTAATGAAAAATACAATTTCAATAAAATATATTTACTCCAGTAAACGCAATGAAATAAATTTCATCATTTCTCGCTCGCGAAAAATCTCGCTGAAAAAAAAAAAAAAAAAAAAAAACCCCGTAGGTACCCAAATAAAAATATTACAAGTAACACATAGAGTCACGAAAATAGAGAGAGAGAGAGAGAGAAATTCAAAGAAAATAACCGCACGCGTTTTGTTACCCGCTATAACCACAATGCAATTATTTTGTATTTTCGTACGTTACCTACAATATAGGACAACTGGACGTCGTAGACGTCATTTTTGTTGTTGTTTTTTTTCGTGTCTTCAACATCCGAACGATTCGACGTGACGGCCCCGGCGCTGCCAGAGCTTTTATAATAATTGGAGAGAGAAAATAATAATAACAGTTCCCAGAGTCGTATCGCGCGCGCGCGCTACTACCTCGCGTTACGTTATTATTTCATTAAAACGCGATTTCGAATTTCGAAGAATTTTATAATTATAACTGTTATTATTGTTATTATTATAGAAGACAGCGGCAGCGCGCCGGGATATGGGATAATCACGTGTAGGCAAAAACGTATCGCCAAAAGCAGCGGTTTGTAGCGACGGATAAACATAATGATAATGGTGCGATGTGATTGTGCGTATATTATGTTTGTTGTGATACCCATTTGTGGAAGCCGCGTCGATCAAGGTCAACAACAAACGAGCCGTAGGACAAAATATTATACTTTTCTCGGTTTCGAAGCATATATTATTATTATTATTATTATATTATCAGGTTGGTAATATATGAATGCACGCGCTTGTAAAACACGCCTAATGGTTATAACGTTGTGATGGTGTATGATAATATCGAATCGATGGCATTCGAACGGCGTCTCCTACGATATTATATTAAAAAGGAGAAAAAACATATTTTTTTTTTTTTTTTTTTGTACATTCCGAGTGGGCGGCGAGAAGAAGTTGTTGTATGTGTTTCGGTGACGCGTGTTTCTCCCGCCCGGAAAACGCATTAACGGTCAGAAAAAAAAAAAAAAAAAAAAAAAAAAAAAAACGGTCAGATTTTTCGTATATATGCCTTCGAACGCGGATTTTCTGTACGTAATTTCGCAATTTCCAAAATACCATTTTCCGACCGATCGCGCGCTTAACTTTTTTTTTTTTTTTTATAAACGTTTTTTTACCCGGCACCCTGAAAAAAGGTGCGGAAAACACGTTTTTTAGATCCTTTTTTTTTTTGCGATGAAATTTGTGTAAATCGTTTTTAAAAAATGTCTAGATTCCCGACCGTTTTTCTAGACAATATATATATATAAACATATATAAACATAACGATAAATATCGACATATTACTACACAGGTTTTATTTTTGTCGATTTCTACATTACTTTAAGAACTATATACAACTGAAAAAAAAACACTACTTATAGATACTATAGACACACCTATACTAATACTACCCCGTTCAGAATCGGTTTTTTTTTTTCTATTGCGACGCTTTATCGCTGCTTTAGATGTAATATATTAAACTTAATTTCCCTATATCCGATGTACATTATACCTGACAAACCGCATACCTACTGTGCACACACACACACACACACACACAATAGCCTGTACCCGCGGTGCGAAGTACGTCCGGATGTGTACACGTTTTGTTTTGGCTACTTTAAGCCGTTCAACGCACACATAAAATGCGACGACAAACAGAATCCAAAACGTTTATTATACACTTAATACACGCTGAACACACGGACGAATACTCATTATGTGTAAGATGTGTACCCGCGATCAATGTGCACGACACGACGGTGGATATTATTGTGCTCCGGACGTAGGTTTGACGCGCGCACGAGACAATGTTCAGTTAGTTTTGAAACATAGCGTGTATGCGGACGTCGGAAAAAAAAAAAATATATGTACGTAAAAAAAATAATAATAATAACGTTTAAAAACCAGCACCCGTACGTGCCGAAATTCCCGAACAACAACAACAACAACAACAATGCATGTTAGGTTGTACTGGAAAATGTAATTTCAACGGTTTTCGTCGGCAGTGTTTTCGTTACAGTGGTTCAAGAACAACGTGTATAATAGGTACGTATAAGATGATGAATATTGCAATATTATAACCCATAAATATTATTGCAGGAAGAGGATTACGAAACGAGTAAACACAATAATATTATGTACCTATACCGATTTTTTTTTTTTTTTGTTTCATTCGTCTAGAGCCAGTGTTTCTCAACATTTTTTTTACAAGTTATCGACCTCTCCCCCCCCCCCCCCCCCCGAGGAACAAAATAGTTTTCGACGTCCCCCGTCCCTATCCACGTGTGAAATCCTAAAAATAAATATACGACCGAAAATGGGAGGGCTGCTGAACATTGTAAAATCAACAAAAAAATAAAATAAAATTGAACGCGAGTTGCTAAAAAAGAACTTAATTTCGACAATTTAACAGAAATCTTAATCACACACCGGAGCGGTGTTTCGGGCGAAACGTTGGACGCCTACTGATCATAATATACCCATTTCCCTTTCCCCGAGGAGTCACTATCGCCGCCGTTGAGAACCATTGGTATCAATAGATTTCGTGCCTAAACAAACATTATAATATTATAATATCTAAACGTAATAAAGTCCGTGCAGCTCTTTAGATTATTATTTGGCACGTAACACGTCGAGAAATAAATTCATACACATTAAAGTATTATGTATGGCGACGGTGATGATATTACAGAGTCTGCTAATGCGGAAAACATTTACAATAGGATTAAAATTCAAAACATAGAACACACGATTATACATACAGACAAACAACTACAAAATACTATTATATTGCTGCATTATTATTTTAAAAATTACACGCTGCATCATGGCGGTGTTAACCGCCATTTTCGCCGAGCGAAATTTAACTATTCCTATAGGTACAATGTGATGGCAGTGGAGTATTTAAGAGATTAGAAAGACATACCCCTGCTCTTGGCTTTTTTTTTCGGAATATATTATATGTACACGATTATCTACCTACTTTTTAACTCAACATTTCTTTATTTTTTGATCAGAAAAATCGAAATCGTCTAGGACGTTCGGGTTCCGAACGTCAGTACATGTTCTTATTTAAAACGAAATCTGTCAAAATCTGCGCTATAATACGAAGGAGCTGGTTAGATTATTGCCTTAACATATTTAATTAATTAATAGTAATTACTATATAACATCCAATTTTAATTCGGTTTCAATGATAATTTGAAGGCAGATTGATTTATAAATTATAAACTATAAACATGTTATACGAATTCGAGGTTTAATTTTGTTCAGTCTATAAGTCACCGTTAAAATAACACAATTTTCACATTGAATACTCGTATCTTCCTTCGCGCGACAGTTAATAGATAATGGTCAACAAAATTGTTTAATATCGTTTATAAAATAAAAAATTGCGTTCGCTACCTATATACCTAACAAACTAACCCATTGTAATGTAATAAAGTTAATAAAAACATGATCCATTTGAGCATAACATAAAAGGACTGTCGACGTATTATACAGGTAACGATGGTGTTCATTCAATTCACCGGTACACGAACGTGGTACGTTTTACATCAGAAAAATAATTTTCACCTACATAACGTGTCCGGCGTGGTAAATACGATCTGACACTAATAATATAAAGTGTATAGATGATGACGAATAAGGTCACACAGGTTTTAGCCAAAGAAATTTGAAAAATATTAATCGAACTATAAAATCTACGATAACGACAAAACTTCATATTATTTACCTATATATAATAACTATCGTGGGTATAACGGACAGTGCCGTAGCCGGAGGGGGACGCGACATAGGACCGACCCTACCACCCCTCTCCGAAATATTTCGTTTTGTTGGTTATATTTCGGTATTATTTTTTCTCGTTTTATGTATTTTACCAACTTTTTTTCCGGACAGCGGATATGAAAATACAAAATGATATATTGTACATGTTGTGTATACCATACAGAAGATACATCAAAATGTCTGCCCGCGTACAGGTATATCGCCAGAATTAGTCACAACCAAAATTCTTAATTCGCAGTGGAAAGAAAAAAAACCCAACTGTAAATTATTACTGTTATACATGTTTCTACGGCGGCGGCAGCGGCGCTGTTTAAAAGAAACGCGAATTATGATACAGGTAGTATGACAGAAAAAAAAAAAAAAAAAACTATATTATACTTATTATATTTTAATGCATTGTCAGCTAAAAACCGTATACATTCGACACACTGTTATAATAGCGAAGAAAAACTAGACGTCCGCCTATATATATATACACATGTATATTATTCTATATACCCACCTATATATAATACAATGAAAATCAAAAAAAAAAAAAAAAAGTTTTTAAAAAATCGGACAACCAATTTCGTCTTGCACACATTCGCATTGATTATTAATATTTCGTTCGCTCGCGGGGAAGCGACGAGATACCTTATCCAATCGGATTCAACACGCTATCAATACGAGCATATTCGTAGACATAAACCTCTTCCTTAGATTGACATTTATAAAAAAAAAAAATTTCTTTTATTTATTTACCATTTTATACAGAAAAATTGTTCGTTTAATGGATACCTCGTTCCCGCGTTAATGGTTTTCGTCAATTTTACGATGCGAGCGCGCGTTCAATTTCGTTATAATGCAGCAAACATAAAACGTAATGACTACGGGCATACACTTTGGGCGACAAACCGGTAAATATTTAATATTATATCAATCCGAAACGTTAAAACGCGTACGATTAATACGGACGAAGCGGTTAAACGACATTACAGATATTATGTTATTTAAACGTTGGCAGAAAAAATAACAACAACGTTAGGTACCGTGCGTAGAAATCGATTGAAATATAATATTATATGATGGGTACTAAAATGTTATTTTCAATCGTGAAACGCATTATTATAATATAAAACTACGAAGACACGTAAACTCGGAAGAAAAAAAAAACAACAATAAAAATCAACCCTGTCTATAGTAAATAATCATAAACCGACGAGGCGTTCCCTAATCTAAGTCATTATAAGACTGCACTTGAAACGAACCAAAGACGGAATCCTCCGATCGGCTCATTAATCGCTATTCGCTAATTTACACTATCGATAACGTGAGTTTCTCGACAGTAACAATATAATAAACACACAGTAATCCAACATTCAGAAGTTAAGTGTTTTTCACGGTCGAAAACCTACACTAGAGTGTTTCTCCGCGTACGTAACCCACGTTACAAAAGGAAAATTTGTTAGAGCATTTCGAACCGGTTTGAATTTCCCCTTGAAAAGTAAACCGGTGCGGTTTTCAGGAATTCGTTTTTTTTTGTTTCGTTTTTTTTACGATCGAGTTGGTCAAAGTTACCAATCCCGATTTGCCCCCACCAATAAACCTACGGTCTACACGACGTTCTTGATTTATCGACTACGGTTACTCAACTTTACTGTTCGCTTTCGACAATTTTAGAGGGAACGAATGAAACGTGGAGACGAGTCGACGTGTATACCGCAGCGCAGTGAGAGAAGACGGTTTTAATATCTCGTTGGCGTGGTTCCGATCGGCCGCATTGTACCAAACCGGTTTGCGCCGACCAATGACGTGCGCAGGGGAAAAGGTCAGGGGTTATACCCCCCCCCCCACCCATTAGCTTAAAATACAAAAAAATACGAATAATCTTATGTCGAAATGCACGTATCATGTTTCGATCGAATTACCGAGGAAAAACTTGACATATATCGATTAGAAATTAGCAGTTTTTTTTTTTTTTTTTTTTTTTTAAGGATCCGGTTTTTAACCAATTTTCTACAGATTCCCGCGGTAAACTCGGGAATAGTGAGGACGAATTTACTCGATTTTTTTACTCTTATTCTATACATCGCCTCCTCCCCCGTTGATAATTCCCGGCCACCGGCTCCGACGGATTTCTCGATAGCGTCCTGAACCCGAGAACTAACACACCGATCGAAAGACGGGAAACGACGGAAATCTCGGATATCGGCCCGTCGATCCGGAGGATTCGAAGCCGACGCGACGTCGACCGACCGAGGGGATTCCCCGTTCGCGTCCGCGGCTCGGGCGAACCGACGAAAATTCGCCGTTGTCTGTACGCGTATTATAATACGTATTATTACACCGCCGTCGGTCGAACGCGATATGGGTGCGATACCGGTGTAGAAGAACCACTATATTATAATATTAACGTCGTTGTCGCCGCCTCTAAAAACGTGTATAATTTTGCACTCTCTCTCGCGCGCGCGCGGACGCGTTTAACGTTATGCACTCGACTTTCGAGAGCCGGCGGCGGCGACCTCTTACGGAAAGTTTTTTTTTTTTTTTTTTTTTTTTTTTTTAAATACGCAACAGAATATATTATAGAACCGAGTATTAATGGTACACGAACCGCGGCGGTTGCCCAATATTAAATCGTATAAATACCGCGGCGTATATTACAATACACGGTATATAACGGTGGGTACGCATATACTGCACGTCAGAAAACCAAAGACGCAACGACAATAATATCAGGTTGGTACCTCCTCACCTTACCTATATATTATACGCGTTTCGCGGAACACTGCGACGGACGTTCGTTTGGAAAAGCCGCGTGTTCGCGGGGGGGGGGGCGTTTGATCCAGAATGTTCGACCGTTCGCGCGATAGATTTTACGTTACGGCTGGTTAACCGGCTACTCGTTTTGTTTCCCAATCGATCGTTAACAGACACACGACCCACTCCCGAGTCGGAGTCCCCCCCTTCCCCCGAAACGAGATACTCGAAAACACTCGGCGGTAAAGACGTACGGTGAGTAGATACGGTAAGAAGATACCCGGAACGAAGACTTTTTTTTTTTTTCTTTGTTAATTAGGCACTTTGGAAATAATCATTGTTACGGGCAATGTTGTTGTGAATCGTCCGTTTCTCGCCGTCTCGTCTGATGATGTTCTCCGCGGTTTTCGATGGAAACGCGACAAACTTCCACCGTCACGCGTTAACCGATCACAAAATATTAAAGTAGTCAAAGTAAATGCAAATAATATCCACTTTAAATTTGTTGACACCGCCGCCGCCGTCGCCGGCAGTTTCGCAGACGTTTTAAGCGTTCGGCAAAACCGCTCGAACGAATAAATTATGTATTTTATTGTCGACGGAAAAATAATAATAAAACGCGCTTCTGCGTTGTTGTTGCTGGTGTGTTGCTGTTGTGTAATCTGCGTTGTACTCGTATAGTATCACTCCGCCGTATATACGTGCACGGAGTACGCAATGTGTAATTTAACCGGTGAAAAAAAAATTAATGTTTAACCGAAATCGAATTAAATTATTGAATAATATTTACGATTGGTATGACGTCGGCCGTAAAAACACGCGCCGATCGATCGTTATTTATAATGTAACGATTTTTTCGACGTCAATCGAGTAAACAAAACGCAGACTCCCAGACACGCCACAAGATAACGACAAAGTGATGAAAAAAAAAAAAAAAAAAAAAAAAAAATGATAAATATAATAACATTATTATTATACGCGGGTCTCTATATAGTGTCGTTTTCTTGTTATCTGACGAACGCACCGCGCGTAGGAGGAACATCCCGGTCGAGACGGTCGTGGGCGTCGCTCGAAAAAAGGGGAGCGCGCGGTGCCGATGGAAAATAACAAAATTCAAGAGACTGAGGTAATAATAACAATTAAAAAAAAAAAACAAAACAAACGCGATTCTGACCTGTTTTGTTTTTCTCAACCTGCGGGCTTGCGAGTGCGGTCTAAACCGGCGGTGCTGTTCTAGGTCTTTGGCCCGCGTGGACGGTGTGGCGCAAGACTCGACCATCGAGTACCTGTTGGTGTTGTTGGTGTTGTGTCGGTTGGCCGCGGCGGCGGCGGTGCCCGTATGTTGGCGAACGCTGTAGTGGTTGGCAGTGCCGTTCGCGGCCGATGTGACGGCGGTGTTGTTGGCGATGGTGGTGGCGTCCGCGGTGGTCGTGGTGGTGGTGGTGGAGGTCGCGGTTTTGGCGACGCAGGTCGTCGCGGTTTTGGCGGTGCCGTAGCCTCCGTGGTTGGCGTTCGGTATCACCACAACGGTGTCGGCGGAACAATTGGACCGGTTGCTGTTGGACCGCCGGAGCAATCGCAACATAATATCGGGCAAAAACGCGCGGGCGGCGCGCGCGGCAACAGTGAATCTGGTGAACGGACGTACGGACTGACTGCGACGGGATCGCGGTAATCACTGCACGGAAGGGACGGCGAACCTCCCCCTACTCGGCGATATACCGTCGACGGGCATGGTGTGTTTATTACTCAATTGATATTAAAATAATATTATAACATGCAGACAACCGACCGCCCCGGAAAATGTCGTTGCTATTATCGCCACAATATACTCCGAACGCGGTACGATAATAATGATATTATTATTATGATTATTATTATATTATTACTCGTATAATACAACTGCCGTTATTATTATAATAGTTTATTGTTACGGGCGAAATAAAGTAAAATAACAATAATAATGAAAATAAAACAAAATTGATTGGCGCGAGCTGGGGAGAGGAGCGTGAGACGGCGGCCGGTGCCAATCTCAGCAGACGCACTGAGCGTGTCTGAAAACCACACGGGCGCGCGAACACAAACGCACACGCACGCGGACCCACACTCGCGAAGGAACAGGCACACACGGCGGCGCGCCGCGGCTCAGGCTACTCTAGTCTGGTCGTCGGAACGCGGCCGCGCGACGACGGCGACGGCGGCGGCGGCGGCGGTGGCGACCGGTGGGAGAGACACGACGACTTACTATAATAATAATAATAATAATAATAATATTATAGTCGTCCCGTCGCCCGCCGCGGTGTATCCGACACACACGACCGGTACACGCTTCGTCGTCGCCACCGCCGTAAGTAATAATAACCTCTCTCTCTCTCTCTATCCGCGGACTGCAATTATAATTATAATATTTGTCGTATACTCGCGCGTCCCCTATTTGTCGTAACTATGTCGTTGGAATTATCAACGATTTTGGCACAACGACTGTTCGATTCCGCGTACGTTTCCGACCGGCGGTGCGCGTCGCGTTCATCTCGTGAGCGCGCGCCTCGCGCACTATAGAAAATTAAATACAATAATAAAACGTGCAGAGAAACGTAACTGGGTGACCGAAATGGTCGCCGCCGACATCGAACCGAATGAACGAATGGAATTTTCGACAACGCCGGGGCGCGAGCCACACACCGCACCGGGCGCGTCGTGTTTTTCGCGCGGCCGAAAAATCCGTCGGACTGCATGGAATAACGCGCAGCCGTTTTTTTTTTATCTCGTTTACCTCAACCGATTCTCTCTCTCTCTCTCCCCCTCCCCATTCCATTCAACTCTAGAAGGGAGTTTCCCGGTCTTTAATCGAAAACCACGGCGCGGTTTATTCGTGGGGGGTGGTGGAGGGGAGGGAGGAAATTACGAAAACCACGGCCGAAAGTGTCGCACGCCGAACGATATTTCGCGACCTTTGAACGTCAACGAACGCGTTGCAAAAATTATATCAACGACCCATAATAAGGATACGATAAGGATAATAACGAGGAGCGCCGAGAACCCTGTTATTATATTGTTGACATTACGGCGACTATGACGACGATAATATAATAATAATAATAATATGGTCGGGGACGCGGTTCGGCGATTTCTCATTTTTTATCGCTCTCTCTCTCGATATATACGGGGCATGATTGATTAAGTATGCCCACTCCGTTTTTAGGGGTATGCGCATTATATTTCCGTACGTGAATTTTGATTTAAAGAGTTTTCAATGTTCCGCGTTTAAAATCAGGCAGTACATGGGAGAGTGATGCAGTGTGTGAACTGTAATTTGTCCAGCGACACTGCGCCTCCGGTGTTCGCACAGTGCTGCTCCCCCTGCCCAAACTTAAAAACGGAATATCTCGCGAACGCGTTTGACGGGAAATCGAAAACGAATTTTAACTAATATGCTCTATCTACGTATGCAATTTATTTAACATGCACGTACAATAAGTTCTCATATGAGAAAAAAACCAAAGTCCATATCGCCGTCGGGATACTCCCGGAGTGCTGTGGAATACACCGAGTGTACGGAAATATCAGGGCGCGCTGAAAATTTCGAACGTGGACATAATGAGCATAATTTGCCCCTGAAATTGTCGTTACCGTGCTTAATACCACTGTGTCCATACACATTGTAATACAACACACCTTGCTGGGCATATTGTTCCGACGAAAATCGGTCCGCGGGAATGCGCCGCACCGGAAAACCCGAAAATCCCACAGCTGCACGCGCCGTGTTCGCGTGGAAACCAAACAGTCAATTAATAATAACTCGTTTAACTCGACCGGGAACGCGGCGTCGCCCCGTTAAACCGTCGCAACAGCAGCGGCGGCAGTAACGGTTTCCGTCGTCGTTAATTTAATTCCCGGGCCGTTTACGCGCGCGCGAATCTCCGCGGCGGAAACGGCGACAAGGGGACGAGCGGGCCGGTCGAAAAATACATTACGGTGACCCGCACCGTGCCGCGTATGAAAATAGGTGTCCCCCCCGCCCCCCGAAGCCTTATTATTACGGTAAGTTTTTGATTTGATAATACTTTTGAAAAACCGCAGTGTGCTGTACCCGCAAAAATAATAGTGTTCTCTTCGAAATGTCATTTAACGGGAAGTTATAAGCCGCCGTACTTGGCGATGGGAAAAAAAAAGGAGTAGAATGTAGAATTTTTTTTTTTCAAATAAGAATTTTAATACCGTATTTCGATGAAAATCCTAAATATTACGACACGTCAAAACATACGTCATATAAATGAACTCGGCTCAGAAACGTTTTTCGTTAGCAATGATTGATCGTCGCGTACATTAAATTGCGCTCTAATATCCTACCTTCCCAACTTATCACTTACAAACAGTGGCCCGCCCATCGTTCGAAGTATGTCCGTCTTATTTAACTTTTGTTTTTATCACCAATAATTAGCGGATAATTATTAATTATCCGCTGACTGTTATAAATAAGTATAGGTACTGTTATACAAATTTAATTTCTAACCATTAATCGTATTTGTGGTTCATGGTTGATATATAGGTGAACAGTATATTTATGGATATTAGATAGCATATATCATAAATAAAACATGATAAAGACATTTTTTACTTACCGCAGTTTATAACCGTAATCATTTATCAGTACAATAGTTAAATAAATATTATCAAAATACATGCAAATACGCATAAATAACAATACCCATAATACAATTTCTAAAATTGATTAATAGATATATATTACTATAATAATAAATAATAAAATGAAAGTAAATATTTATACAAAATTCAGAACATCGAAAACTGGAAATTATTTAACTAAAAAATACATATAGTTGTTAAAGCTGTTTAGCCGGCATCTATACAGAGTTCTTTTTTAATCACGAAACAGCAATTTTCTCGGAAAGTTTCAAGCGAATTTGATTTCTGTTTTTTTTTAATCATTATGGAATCGGTTAAGCACTACATAACGCCCAAATTTTTTGGTTTTCACCACTTAGTACAATTTATAATGTACCTCGTGTTAAGTTTTATGTCAATTTAATAAATAACACACTAATACATTTAGGCGAATAAGCTGAAGTAAAATAAACTTAATCCAAATACTGTTTTTACCAAAATGATTTGATTTTGCATGTAGGCTCTATATGGTACGTTTTGTAGAAAAAATATTTTCAAATTTTTTGTGACACTTTTAAGCAATTATTAGAGTTTATTTTAAGAAAAAAAGGTAATCTCGTCGTGTAAAAAAAAAAAAAAAAAAAAAAAAACGAACAAAACATAGACGAGAAATCAAATAATTAAAATATGTTTTCAAAATTACAATCGCAAGTGGTAGAATTTAACGCCCCTCAATTCACTCCTACTAATCCAAGGTTCGAAATGCCAGCCTCTGCGATTATTGTCCTGCGACCTGGTCTCTAAATAAAGTTAATAGATGACTATTAGCATTATATATTATATGTATATATATATATATATATATATATATATATGCTATTACCATACGATATCCGCACAGCACAGGGATTGCACTACAAAAATTAATAACAATGTTTTGCTTTTTTTTTTTTATTTTCATTCGTGTTACCAAAGTAACACGTAAATCGACAAAAATATAAAACCTAAAACCGAATTTTACGGAATGGTATTCGATACGTGGTGCGTATCTGCTGCAATAGCTATAAATAAACTTTATTCTCCGCGGACAACGTGGAACAACTTCGCCAAAGTTTCGTGACGGTCGGACGCGAGTAGGCAGTTAGGGGTTCGCCAAAAACCATAAGTATCGCGTATTTACTGTACGCCGTATTATTCAAGTTCTATTAAACGATTTTTGAAGGGGTCGTCATAAACGAGAGGAAAAAAGGTGGTCGCGATTCGCAAAAGGTTGAAAACCGTCGGTGTACAGTAAAAGCATAAAGGGCAAACAGTAAGACACACATTCGTTTTTATATGTAAGCATGTATAATAGAAGATCATATTATTATTATTACTATAATTAATTGTTATTCGGAAACAAAATATTGTGTTCTATAACGAATGTATACGCGTATTATTTTTTTTTTTTTTTATCAAGTCGGCTCGAAATAAATATAGGTTATAATAGTATAATAATAATCTATAGGTACGTGTATTAAATACGTGTGTTTACACGAGCAGAGGTTAGGTATATAATAGGATTTTTCTTTTTCTTTTTTTTTCTCGCGCGCGCGTTTGACCGATCGTCAAGCTCCGACGAACTCGTTTTGTCGATAAACACTAAACGTGCCCAAAATATCAAAAAAAAAAAAAATACGAAACTAAACGTATACCAGATGACTGATGATGGTCTGTGATGCGCGATTGATTCATCACGGCGTATATTATACAAAATGCGTATAATCTAAAGAAAATTAAATATTACATTTTAATATTACGTACGTCGGGTTGCGGCTTTTTTTTATTATTATTATTATTATTATTATTATGCACGCGTATTATAACGACAAAGAAACGCGAAATCGATTTTTCGCTAAAACACATTAAAAAAAAAAAACACCGCGTATACCGTAGTCAGAGAGAGAGGGAGCATTGGGGGCACGTCAACCCTTTCCTCCGAAATTTTTATCCTTTTTTCATTCAGATAATATTTGTCGGTGTATTTCGCCTCCATTCTAGAAAAAAAGAAAAAGTAGTAAACAAAAAATAAAAATCATTAGTGCTCCCCACCTCCGGATTTTGTTCCTGGTTCCACTCTGTCTTTTCCGGCTGGAGATTTCCATAAATAGGACGGGATGTGGTAAATGATAATCGTGATACATGAATAAACCGTAGAATCATTTTCTGGTATATATTCATAAAATTCGACAATAATGAGAATGAAAAAAGCAGTATATACCGAATAATTCGGGTGAATTATATAATTTCAAAATAGAACTACTAAATAAACACTAATCAGTTTTGTGTTTTTTTAAAGGAATAGGGGAAATGGGGAATATATTATAAAAATAAAATTTAAAAAAAAAAAGACCAGAAAAGGCCAACGACATAATAACGATTTCGTGGATATAATATTGCAAAAAAACGAATGAATCTATTATATTACGGTACCAGAAAATCAGCTAACGATTGAATAATAGGTCTTCCATAGATTTTAGCCATCTGTTTCCGAAGTTATAGCGTCTACTCCGAAACGACTTACGGTCAACAATAATGCAATACCCGCGTCTGCTATAATAGTATTATTATGTTGGTCGACCGTAAGACAAACATGGGAATTTAAAAACGGGTTTGGGACACACTTATCGTGTTGCTGTTTATGGAATTACGAGGACAGACAAATGGACGACGATATTGCTGCGGACGCACGGCTTTTAACTTATCTTGGAAAAAAAAAAGTTGCAAGTACTTCGGTTGAAAAACCAACGATTTAGAGCGCACAGATAAAACTTAAATCTATTGCGGATCGGACACCGTAAAAATAGATTTACGTTAATTAATAACAAACGTCCACAACCGATTGCGCCGTTTACAATAATATACATACCACGGTTATGTAGGCATTAAAACTAATAATCGAATAGGTATATTATTTTTATTACTATTATTCCTATGGGTGTATTCCCTGTGATCGTATAAATTGGGTATGATTATTATTAAGTTTCCACCTTATTTTCCCGGCGTAATTGTGATTCCAAACGTAATAAATAAATAAATAATGATAAAATACCGGCTGGTATAATAATATGCCAGTCATACACGGCGGATTATAACGGTCGTTGAAATGTATGAAATGGCTATAGTGACGAATCCGAAATAATGCTGTAAATCGTTGATAATACCGGACACTTTTATTTCGTTGTTAACTATGATATGAAACAATCGATATAACTGTAGGGCTTGGATTTGTATGCGCCAATAACCCTAGAAATGTGCACTATAAAATATGCATTAATGCTTTTATTTTGTCGAAATAAACCATTTAAAATAATACATGTGCACAAAAAAAAATCGATTTTCAAAAAAAAAGTAAATGTTTTTTTAATTTTTAAAGCAAGTACAAATCATTGATTTTTAATGGTATTTTCGAAATGTTCAATGTGAAAAGCAATACACAACATTTTCTTTTTTTTAAATAAAAAATATGCATATATATTTGATTTAAAAAAAAAAAAATGTATTTTATTTTTAAACTAATACATAAATATAACCAAAACATTACATATTATTCATTTAAAAACCATTTATATGCAACGAAAAATCGTAAAACATGGAAATAAGCAATACATGTCAAAAAATAGTAAAATATGCAAAATAAAACTTGTATTTCAGTTCTATTGACTATAATTCAATTGACTCAATTCAAACTTGTAGCTTACCTAGATACTTTTTGGATAGTCTTAAAAAAATATGCATTTGCATATAAATCCGGGACCTAGACTTCTTACGTACCTAAAATACACTTCGCACTGACTTATATAATATAGATAATATTATACTAAAATAAAAACGATTAAAATATCAACTGACGATCGTTTATTTAAGTGCCTTCGCCAGTCGCACTCATCTGATGAAAGTTGACAGCGCTTTTAATAATAATAATAATAATAATACAAATTTTAATGTAATTTTAAATACAACGTTTAATGTGCGTTTACAATTGTCTAGGAATATTAATGCAATACAACGACACATATAGTTGCATTACAGCCATAATTATTATTACAAATAAATTATAAATACGTGGGACGGGGCCGCGTGGGTATACATTTACAATGTTTTGTGGTTAAGAGGATGTCATAACCCTTTCAATGTCCGATCGCCGAGGTTCTAGATCTAAGCCCGTGTCTGTCAGACGTCATAAGTTTGATATCAAATTTACCCAAGGCATTATTAATGGTAAGTTTGATGCTTCCGGGCTACTATAGAACGAGTAACACTTTGAGTAACGTATATTAGATCACAGAGCTTTTTTATTTTGCCTACAGCGTAATCGAATTTCTTGCAAAATATCAACATTGTTCTAGTTATGGAAGCCAGTAGTAGCACGCCTAACGCCGACCTTATGTTTGGAATGTTTTATAGTTAAACGACGGACCACATTGCTAGACATACATTTACCTAATGTAATTCTATGTTGTTATTATTATTATTATTTTTTTTTTTATCATATCACCACTACTATCTGTATTTAATTGACTATTAAAAACGTAACTTTTGTTTATGACAATTTTTTGAGAAGAAATGTATGTACTGCCCTCGAAAATATTCTCCTTTCAACCTAAATGCCACAATTTGCGTTCCAAGTATAAGAGAAGAAACGTTACAGATAGACATGCGTATCTTGGATTTTATTGATGAATAATAATAATAATTGTTCTTCGTAATATTAATTTTAAACTCGCATAAAATAAATCACGGTTTATAATAATATTAATAAATTTAAGTATAACAGCCCTGGGTTGAACAAAATACATTAGGTATAGGTTAGCTATACATCAAACTTTGTGAAACGCATCAACGCCAAAGTCAAATCGTATTATTATAATAAATTAATCAAAGTACTTAATCAAATGTCGTGGTCAATTATGGAAAATAAATTTTACGAAGTGAAATATGAATTATACACAATAGTGTAATAGTGTAAAACCATTGTAATTCTTTAGAGATTCAACACTCAAACGTTAATTTTAATGTATAAACTTAACTTTTGTTTTGAATAATAGTTGGTATCTTCTCATATACTATTATAATTACATTATTAATTAGTCATAAAAATTAAATCTCTTTGAATCTATTTATAATGCTCAAAAGAGATTATAAAAGATTTGCGAATTTTAATTTTATTACACCAATATAATTAATATTCCCATTGCTTTTGCTTTAAAATGTATTCTTCCATCAGAAAATAAATGATTTAGTCGATACTTATTAGAGATACGAATCGTATGTAAGTAATATAAGTATATTTAAATTATAGAAGAAAACGCGGAATAAACGGTAAAAAAAAAAACAAAATAATATGTTTAAATAATATAATATGTAACTACCGAATTAAGGTTATTCACGCTGTGACTTAACATACTTTCCTATTAGATATAATATAATCAAAATGGAATATAATATCCCAAATTCGGCCGAAAAAAAATATGAATATTAAGTAATAGGTAATAATAATAAGGTCATGGCGTAATACAATACGAAACGTATACAAATCTGAAAAACCGAAGAATTTATAATTTCTGTACAATTTGAACACTAATAACATTTTTATTTATGTTAATTTTTATTTTTTTTACGTTATTATATTACACTTGTATATGACGCTGGTGGTTTTATTAGGTATGATAATACATTATGGTTATGTATATCGCCGATATTGTCGAAATTCGATGCCAAAATTCCAATAGTGTTTTGGATTTATTTCTATGTGTTTACACCAAAAAGTGGCTTCAGCGCGATTACTATAATATAATATTATACGAGTACTGATAGTCACAAAACGATTTTTAACTATTTAAAATATAATATATAAGTGCACAGCGTAACGTCGATATATTTTGTTTGATCGACGGTTTTAAATCCGAATTCTCGACTGAATGTAACTAGAAAGAAGACTAAAAATAAGTATTAACGAAGAAAACAGTATAGTCTAAATAAATCATGTTGTTTATTGTCTGTTTACAACCGTATTAATACAAGTTTAAATTTAAAAAACGAGAAACCACTATAGGGTAAAACTGATATTATTATATGTTTACTATTATGAATCAGTATAGGTTCCTATATAGACACCTATAGATAGAGCCTAAACTCCCGAAAATGACGAACAATATTATTGACCTTACAGCAATCCGACCTGAAACACCGTTAATAATTTTACCACAAGTATGTTTTCTTTAATAAACACCATAAATAATAAAAACCGAACAGGTATCGATGAAACCAGAAAAATAACAATTATTATACACAATCAATCAATACTATTTACTGCTTAGTAATTCTTTTATTAAAAAAGCCATGCGCGTAGGCATAATACAATTTGACCGGACCATTTTAGAAATTAG